GAAAGAGTCAGATTTCAATGCATTTGTAAGCAAGCTTCCTGTGAGAAATCTGCCTGATTTCTGCCTGGTTTGTCTACCTCGCTCCTCTGCAGCCCATGCTGGGCAAGTCTCGACTTGCCTTGGCTCTTTCATTCATGCCAGTCCATTATTGAGACAGTCTCAGAGCTGTCAAAATTTTTAATTTTAGATGCACTTACTGGGATGATTAGGAAGTAAACCATTCTGATTCTGATAGCTCTGAAGCAAGGAGTTATTGCCAATGAGTACTTGTTTTACTGTGGTTCACGGACTGCTCTCTCATCCCTGTCTGGCCAGCCTGGGATCTCGTTCTACAAAATTATTTGGTTTTAAAAAAAAAGTAGAATTCTCATGGTTTTGTCCATTTTGTTTGGTTGGTTGGTTTTGGTTTTTTCCTTCTTTTTCTCTGGGTGGAGATTATTTGAAACAAAAAGTAAAAAGGCTGGGGAACATAACCACCTGTCCCCGAGCTAATGCACCTGATTGTGCCATGAATTGTTTTATATTCCATTTACTGGGGAAAAAATGGGGCTGGTGACCTCTTTTTCCAATTTTTTCTATGGTTGTCTAACACAATTATCATTCAAGCAAACATGCTGGAAGTTGGGAGGAAAATGGCCACGTATATTTTTAATCCTACCACAGGCGATGTACACAATTGATTTAATGAGTGGTGGTTTTATTTTGTCCCACCTGAAAAACGGCTTTGCCCATCTATTTCAAACTAGAACAACTTCTATAAGCTTGAAAAAAACAGGTACTGAGCCCTGCGTATATGTAGTCTGGGGACTGAGAAACTGAAGAAAGGCATGAAAACAAATATAAAAAAGCAATCATCACATTACTGAGAAGAACATCAAGGTATTTTCATGATCAGTAAAAGACACTCTGATTTGGTTATGGCCTTCTTTGGATCTTAGTCCTTCATCCACTGATGTTTCCATTTTGTCTTTATAATTTGAAGCACGACTTGCTTTGTCCAGAGCCTCTCATTGTTGCAACACTTCCATTTATGATTTTCTCTTCCCCCAGAATATTGGTATCTCTTAAAGCTTTTATAATATTTTCTGCTACTGGAAAGGGAATAATTTTCTAAGAAAAGCTAAAGTTACATGAATAATACAAAAATCTTGGTATTACAAGAAATTTCACAAGCTAAACAATGATTTTTCTGCAGTCTTGCTTCACTGTATTTCCTCTGCCTGTACTTTTAAGGAGCCCAGAAGGGGAGATGACTCTGGAGCGTGCAGTGAGCATACTGAAGAGTGAAAATACACAGTCCACACCTAGGATTCTTGCTGCAGTGACTTTCATACAACATGAGTGCTTCCAGAAAGCAGATGCCAGAAGAAAAGTAAGTAATTATTTTTATGCAAGTTACAATCAGGTAGAGCAAATAACTTTCTATACTGTATGGCACTGTGTGCCAACACAAAAAAAAGGCATTCTGAGAAACTTTGTAGAATACTGATGTTGAGTATTTTCCCTAAAATATGCTGATGCTTTTTGCTGCAGATTCTTTTAAATCAGTGGAATGGTGCTGGTCTATGCTAGCAAAAGTTTGGTCTTTAGGATTTTGTGATAGGAAACACGGAAGTGTAGGGTAAGAAGCGACATCAAGAATTCATCCAAACCATCTGTAATTACACATGTTTATGACCAACTTTTAAAAAATCATATCAGTTAGGATCCCACAAGTTCCTGCAGGCAAAGAGCTTTACTACTCTTAGCGGCTATTCCTAAAGTATAACTTAAATCTCCCTTTTGCAAACTAAGTTGATTAGTTTCTATCCTATCTTGATGGATATGGAGAAAAATATCTATTTTTCTGTCCCTTTTGTAGTGTTTTTTCTTATATGTTAAGGCTGTTAAGTGTATACCCACTTAGTCTGCTCTTTTTCAGTCCAAATGAACATAGTCCTTTCGACCTTTATGAGTAAGTCATGGAGTCTGAACTTCTTGTCAATATAATTGCTCCTGTCTCTCATTTTTGACTGGCATGCCTACACCATTGGTACAGAAATATGCCAGAAGTGGAAACTCTGGAGTCCAGTGCAAACTTATCCAAGCTTCAGGGTTTGCTAGGACTGCACAAATGCGTTAATACAGTGTATGGATTAGCCAAACTGGTAAGGGCTTGCTGGGACTGCACAAATGCATTAATTTTGGATTAACCAAATTTGTTAAGTCTCTTTCAAGAGACTAGTTAAGTCTCTTACAAGTTTTTTGAAAAGGCTTAATAAAAATACTCTCCTCTTCTTTTTCTTTAAATTTCACTAACGAACACAGTTATGGCTCTCTTGCTGAACAGTTCTGTACATTAATGTGTAAAGTGGTTGTTTATTTCAGTCATTCAAAAAAAATTTCTTACACCTGCATTGTTTCATAATTTGCTTGGTATTATTCATATGTAATCTCAGCCTTAACTCCTTATTCATCTATATGCAATCCAGTTCAGTGACAGCCAAACATCACTCAATCCTTTGGTAGTTTTAACTTGCTTCACAGTAGATCAAAGTCTGGTTTGGAAAAAACCATCAGTACAGTTAGCAGCCTTAACTTCAGTCTGAGGACTGGAGTTTCAGAATTGAATGTTTGAAGGTGGTTTATTATTCAAACCTCTCTCAGGCAACTTCCCTGAAAAACAAGTGGATGAGTAAAAGAGTTGAAATTGGAGCAGTCAGCCTGAAGCCTTCTTCTATTTTCCTGTCTATCCCACATATCCTAGCTGAGTTTTTCTGTTTGGTGCCCGTCAGACTTGTTCACGTTGGCATTGTCTGGTTTCCCCTTTTTAGCCTTTCAGCCTGCATTCCTTTTCTTTGTCTCCCGATGCTTTGTTCCCTGATACCTGGTTGTCTGTGGGTCTAGTGGCTTTTCTTTTTCTTGTGCACTTGTGGTCTTACAGTATTTTGGGGAATTTTGTCTACCGATGAAAATTAGACAGACCAATCAATAGCTTTTGTAAATTCTCCTTTGCACATTAGGTTGAAATAGCACCACTTCTTTCACAAGAGTTATAAATTACTTAAAATTATCAACAGAAAGTCTGCATAAATGTTTAAAAAAACAACCAGCTACGGTGTCAAAGGGGCTTATCTACTGTAATAAAATAGCTCGATGTGCCTTCAGCATGTTCTATGCTCCACTTACCTCAAGATATATATTTCTGTATTTCATTCTGTTAGCATTTAGGTGATTCTTATATCAGGGGAATCAGGTCAGCAGTGCGGCAACAAGAAACTGCCTTTTTACAACAGAATCAGAGGAAAGGCAGGCAGGCAGTGTAGTTTGCCAGGGCATGAAGGGCAAAAGGCTTTGTTACATTTCATTTCTTCGTGTTGTCAACACCTGACGGTTATATTGAATTCTTTTTGTCATTAAACTCTAGACTACTCAAAACAGTTGTATCAGATTTCTAAGTCTTTCACATGCTGTTGATTCTACACAAGGTTGAGTTTGTCCACAAAACCATATGGCATTTTGAGATGCTGGAGGAAACCAGCCGCAATTGTACATGAATGTAAGGTATTTTCCATAGTAAACTCATTCCTAAATGAGGCAAGGCTTGCTTATGCCACATCACAGCTCATATGGGATTCATCATTTGCCACAACACGTAGAACTTGGAAACTATTTGTTTCCATACAGCTGCTGTAAAATAACATCTTCTTAATTCTTCATTCATTTGGGGCCAAAACCTCATTTTCTAAAGAATTAGACACTGAAGAGTAGTCTTTGTTAAATGTGGGTGGTTCAGTAGTTAACTAGCTTACAATGTTTAATGGCCTACATTCTGAAGTTTACTAGTTTACTATTTTTTTCTCAGTATGCCACAGATAAGAAATACTAAGTATAATGTATTCTTATTTAATACACTTTCAGTACATGCACAGAAGTTAACAGAGAAAAATATTGTCTTTCCATCAGGCTGGCTGCTGAGAAAAAAAAAACAAATTTGGCACATCAGGAACATTTTCCATCCAGAAATCTCAAAGCAGTTTATAAATGTTCCAGAGTTAAATCTCAAATATCCATTTCACCAACATGGAAGCTAAAATACAGAGCAATTAAATGTCTTGTCAGAGAGTACAAATCTGCAGCAAAGCTGGAAGAGATTTAGTTTCATTCTCTTACATTAATTATTAAAATATGATGCCTCCCTTAGTTGTGGATTTTAACTATGACTCATATGAAAGCCCAGAAGTTAACAGTCATGTCCAAATGATTAATGATCTGTGCTTCAAGTCTTTCAAATAGGAGCAAATGAATAAAGTCCCTATGACTATTTAAAGGTTTGGTGGGGGGGAGGGTGGAGTTTGTCATTTACAGTATCTAACTATTCTCTGCTGTGTTTTGTTTTCCTCGCAGGTTTTCTCACTTGGTGGTATCCCCAAACTTTTACAGCTTCTTGATGTTCAGAACGAGGACATTCAGCGGGCAGCATGTGGTGCTCTGAGAAACTTGGTGTTTGAGGACAATGACAACAAACTGGAAGTGTCAGAGCAGAAAGGGATCCCACTCTTGCTCCACCTACTCCGGCACACCAGGGATGTAGAGACTAAAAAGCAAATAACAGGTAGTGTTTTCTGTGCATTCAAGCATGAAGTGCTTGAAGTAGCGCACAAGCTTTCCTTGTGAGGTACATGATTGTTTACTTAGGTCAATGTTTAGTGCCTAAATATAAGAACACTGTCACCTATTCTAAGCTCTTCCCTTAGGGTGAAATTCCAAGGTCCTTACTCAAGACCAGTCTTTAAGACAGTAAGAAGAGACTAGGAACTTCAACTTCCTCTCTTAAAGCTTTTTCAGAAATGACATGAGTCTATTTGTTTGCAGGAAGCTTAAAGTCCTAGATATTCCAGAAAAGAAGGTGAGGCTCAAAATAGAAAATTCTATAGAACCATTTTGGTGAGCAGCGATCGGAGCAGTCTCAGAGGTGCCTGGGACCATAATTAATGCCCGTTGCTTATGCAGCAGCTCAGCCCTCACTTTTTGACACTATGCTGATGGTGCATACTGGGAGCTCCTTGTTGAAGACTGTCCCTCAGAACTGTCAGGTGCTGTGGATAGAAAGTGGTTGTCCTACTCTCCACAAACCCTACTACCCCAAATTTCTACTCTGAGCTCTCTCACTCCTAGCTGGTGCTGGACAGGTCTGTCTTCTCAGATCTGACAAGCAGAAAACTGCCCCAGCAATAGTGTGCTTCCTTTCTGTGTGCAGTATTCCTGCAGGACATCCATTTGGCTGTAAAGATCATACGGCACCATCAGTGGAGTGACCTGCATTCTGGATTCAGTTTTTGCAGGTCTTATGTTCTCATCCTTTTATTTCCGATGTCCTTGAGGAAGAACTGTTAAAAATGGGGAGGGCGCATTGCAATTTTGAAGGAAGAGCCCTTTGCATCAGAAACCCCATATTACAACTGTTGTTGTACATCAATGTAGCAGAAGGAATAGTAGGAGGAGATGTCCACCATTACTCACAAAGCAACCTGTCGTTACTGCCCTGTTGGCTTTGCAGCAGCCAGTTAAGAAATGCCCACCACTTTGTCCCTGCACTCCTGTTTGACCATAGTGTGTCTCTAGGAAGTCAACTGCTTGTGACCCACATTCATTCTAGTTAGCATGCAAAGGAAGAGCAGGCTTATATTTTATAAATGGAAGAAAATGTTATGAATAAATGAATGGGGATTTATTTCAAGTGATCTTTAAAGATACCAGGAACACAAGCTATTAAAATAACAGTGCTTGAAAAGATACAGAAGGTGGCAAGCAGCCCTGCCTTGAAGCAAAGGCACGTTGAGACCTTCTGTAATTCTGCATTCTTTCAAGTATTTGAATTACTGTGCTCCCTAAGCTGGAGAACAAAGCTTTGTATTGTTGGCTCTTTTGACCCAGTTCTACAGCTCTGCAACATTAAAATCTTTTAAAGTTTTTCACATTCATCAGATGCAGAATTGGGTCACTTAGTAACTTATTGTGTAGTGTGTTGTCTCTCAGTGCTATTACACACCGGTGAGGGAAGCAGTGAAAATGGTGGTACAGCGGCCAGAAAGCTAATGCTCTTTTCTTGCTAGCAATTTCATCATTTCTGACAAAACCTTTGACTGTTTGTGCAGGATAACTCATACGGATATTGTGAATATTACTGTCTTCGCCCTCACCAGTGTGAAAATGGATGAAGGGGCACCTTCTTTCTGCAATTACTGCTGGCATTGAACGTGAATATTTACTTACAAAACATACAAGACACCAACAAAATATTTAAGCAATATCAAGCAGGATGTTGTGGTTTGCATAAAGCAAAATATTCTGATATACTTTCATGCCTATCAGTTGCAAGGGATGGCTTTAAAAATACACCAAGAGAGAAGTATCTTTCACTTTGTTCAAGACCAAACGTGCAGTCGGGAGGAAGTACGCTGGGTCCCTTGGTAAAAATGGCACGCGGGCATACTTTTTGCCATCACTTGAGCAATTATTCCAGCTCCCTAACAAGCTGCAAGGAGCCTACAGGGCAAAGGGCAGCTTGGTTGAGTGAATTTCTATGAGAATATTAACTTTGCTTCCAGCCACTTTCTTTCCCAGCCCACACTTCAAAAGCAGGCAAGGAGTGGGCTGCAGACAGGAGGCAGACAGTCACTGTTAAGCGTACGCTTACTAAGGTCAGTGCTTCCAGATGATCTTGGCATGTACAGCGATATCTAGGAAACACTGGAATTACTGTCCTGCACAGATTGACTATGTAGCCCGAGAAGGGCTGCAACATAAAGCTTTTCCAAGCACAATGCAAACCTCTGAGTACCTTTCTACCAAAATGGTTAAACCCTGCTGAGCAACAGTTTCCCTGTCTGACTGATAGCTCACCTACAAGTTTTGTTTCTCCTCTTGCATTGCCTTTGGCTTCCTACAGGAAGTTATTCCTAGTGGAATAACTTAGCTGTGCATGCCATCGCACTGCAGTCTTGTAACACTTCCAGGAAAGGGTTAGTGCAGAACCTTTGGGCTTCCACCTGGTCAGCATGAGAAGCCCATCTGTCTTTCCACATCATACTTATTACTTGCCTACTTTGACTGTAAATTAGAGACTTCCAAATGTGTGATATGATAATTAGCTGAATGTCTTCCCCCATAAGAGACTAGTAGAATAATCTTGGTACCTGATAATACCACACTGAACCCTGGTGAAAGACTCCTGGCCAAGGATCGAAAGTATGTGATACTCATTAATAAAGATGTCTAAGCTCAGCAGAGTAAAGCTTTTTGTTTCTACTGCTGTGTAGGAAGCATGGTACCAAAGCACTCCACCTGACAAAAATACACGATGATAAGGAAGTTGTTGGAGAGAAGGAAGTTAAAACTCCGAGACATAGAATTTTTCTCATACCATACTTCATTACCTGTCAGAAATATGATCTAATACTTGTGCACATGAGATAAGTACATCTCAGCCTTAGAAGCTTATCTTTAAGGTCACTGGCTTATTGGTACCAGCAGTGTTAATACAGACAAACGCTTGTCTAATATTAAGCCATACGATATCATATATTCTCAAAGAATATTTTGATGGCCTGTATTTTCCTCAAGACCTAGGCTGAGGAATACAGCCTGAGCATAGCCATGCAGTGTGCCTTGTATCATCCTGTGAAAAGACTGAAAGCAATGAAGGTGTATGGAGATAAATGCTGATTATAGCAAGTGTTGTGTCCTGCCTCACAGTCTGTGCACCCCAGGAGAACATACAAAAAGCACCAAACCAGTATCCCCACCAAAGTGGCTTTGTGCTTATGACAGTGGTTTGAAAGCTGCCGTGGACCAGTTTACCTAATGCCCCTGTACAGAAAATAGCTGCCCCATTTCTCTGTGAAATTTCTGTGCTTATGTGACCTCTTCTTGGGGGGAATGAGGCCTCCTCAAGATTACATAGACTGAATTTGCTAGCTTAAAATCATTGATACAAGTAAAGTAAAGGAACCATAGGCTCTGTCCTTTGTTTGACTTACAAACAAACTTCTTGCAAATCTCTTAGGAAAGGAATGAGGTTACTCCTGAATGGTAGGAGAGGATGTTACTTGGAGTCAATGCAGAAGCCAAGACAGGAATGGCATTTTGTAGTATTTGGAGAGCATACTGAGGAACAGAAAGTAAAATGGCTGTGGCATGAAAAAAACAAAAAAGATTAGCTTTTGAAGGTAAGCCAGATGAGCTTCCAGGGAGTATCTAACCTCTTGATCTTGTTATCATGCAGCATAAATCTAAGAAATGAAAGAAAATTTTTCCTGCAGGGAAGATTATAGCACAAACAGGACTGTCATTAAAAGAAATATAAATTTAAAAGGAGACCCTGCCCATTTTCCCAAATAACCATCTAAGGGAAAACTGTGCCCCTATGAATACATTATAGCATAGCTGCAAAGAAACAGCCCACTCCTAAAGACATTTTCTGATGTGAACAAATTCATCCACACCCAGAATGCCACTGAGAGAATCCTTCTGAGCCCAGTGAGACAGTGCCTGTGGGTAAAGGTAGGATTTTTGTTGGAAAACTTACAGTGTGAGCAACATCTCAAATTCTGTTCTGACAATTCTATTCTAGGTATCTGTCTGTAATTCAAAATGCACTTGTTCCTTTTAATATGATATTCTGTCGTGTCTATAATTCAAAATGCACTTATTCCTTTTAATATGATATTCTGTCCTTGTGTCCTTGCATTTGTGCCATTCTGTCTTAACCTGCTTCCCTTACCAATGCCCTTTGGACTGTGTGTCTGATTTCCTATAAACCTTACTTGTCCTTCAGGAAAGTACATTCTTCCTTTTATCCCCTAATTCAGAGGTTGAAGAGCTGAACCCAGAAGAAGGAATGGACTGCTTCTGGCTGGCTTTTGTTTTGATTTTACTATTGCTCACAATAGCTGAAATTAAATTCAAAGTGTAAGGAGATACAAAAGAAACATTTTTTTGTTGTGAACTGATGAAAGGAACATTCACTAATACTCTGCCAGTGTTTGGAGGAGGTCTGTGAAACTTAGAGCAGCCAGCTGGGGAAACAATGAATGCCTTTGTAGTGAAAAGCAGAAATACGTGTCTTTTTCTAGGGGAAGAGTACTTTTAAAAGAATTGTCATCTGTTGGAATAGAACATAAGCAAAGCTAATCAATTATACAGGATTATATTTGAGATTTGTTTTGGTGTTTGGAAACTGTGAGTAGACAAGGTGTGTAGCATTACTTAATGATTTGTTTAGTGACAAATGTCTGGACAGTAACGGCCAACCAGTGTTTAACAGCTTTCCCTCCTATGAGGAATTTTGCTATCAAGTCTTAGAGAAACTTGGTAATAGACATCTCCTGTCTTCCAGCAGATTTCCAAAGACCTGTAAACTCACTCTCTGTACCTCCCATCTACCCCCTCTACATCCCACTCATTGGTCTTTACATGGTACTTGGAAGTGCAACTAGTCCTGCCAGGCATCCAGAAGGGACAAATTCCTCCCTGGAAGTGTGGAGAATGATCACTGGCGTTGGTGTTGTTAGCTCTGTTTAGCTTATGTTACTTTGGTAACAGAAAAGATGATTGCTGCAGATGGGCAATCATAGAATCATGGAATCATTAAGGTTGGAAAAGACCTCTAAGATCATCAAGTCCAACCGTTAACCCAACACCACCATGCCCACTAAACCATGTCCCTCAGCGCCTCATCTACACGTCTTTTAAATACTTCCAGGGATGGTGACTCAAGCACTTCCCTGGGCAGCCTGTTCCAAGGCCTGACCACTCTTTCAGGAAAGAAATTTTTCCTAATGTCCAGTTTAAACCTCCCTTGCGCAACTTGAGGCCATTTCCTCTCGTCCTATCGCTTGTTACTTGGGAGAAGAGACCAACCCTCACCTCGCTACAACCTCCTTTCAGGTAGTTGTAGAGCGCGATGAGGTCTCCCCTCAGCCTCCTCTTCTCCAGGCTAAACAGCCCCAGTTCCCTCAGCCGCTTCTCATAAGACTTGTTCTCTAGACCCTTCACCAGCTTCGTTGCCCTTCTCTGGACACGCTACAGCACCTCAATGTCCTTCTTGTAGTGAGGGGCCCAAAACTGAACACAGTATTCGAGGTGCGGCCTCACCAGGGCCGAGTACAGGGGCACGATCACCTCCCTACTCCTGCTGGCCACACTATTGCTGATACAGGCCAGGATACCATTGGATGCCATGGAAAACTACACTTCTTGGTCGGGTGTTAGACTCACTATATAGAGATCTGACTTTAATTGTGCCCCTTTTTTTACCCCATTTCTATGTCCTCAGATCAGGGCTGGTGAACTCTTATCACCACCTTCTGCTCCTCTTCAGAATATCAAATGCCAGGCAGGCTCCGTCACTCATTAACTTCAAGGAGTTTGAGATTAGGTCTTTCAAACTGTGGGGGAGTCTTTTTGCCACTCTGATTTTATTTTGGGTATTGCAGGTTTGTTGTGGAATTTGTCTTCCAATGACCAGCTGAAGCACCTGTTGATTAGAGAAGCCCTGCAGACACTGACCGAAGCTGTTCTCATCCCGTACTCGGGCTGGCCAGATCGAGATTACCCGAAGTCAAGTGCTTTACTTGATCCTGATATCTTCTACAATGCCACAGGATGCTTGAGGTGAGCATTCAGTCTACAGGTACCCAAAACAATAGTGGTGGTAAAAGAGGCTGCACACTTATTTTCTTTCTTGCTTTGAACTTTGGTGGCTCCAAGAGAAGAGTTTGCATACAGATCATATTTTGAAATATGGCTTCACACATATCAGACCAGAAGAATTACTGCTCAATACAATGAAAACAATTTTCTTTTTAAGGCTCCTATATATTCATTTGATGGGTACTCCACAGACTAAATATATACATAACAGAAGATAGTACTTAGAGGCCTGGTTGCAGTGCATAGTTGCATTGAAGTCAAAGAGATCCTTCACTGAATAACAGATGTTGGTATGATGTATAAAATTAGCCCCTGGCTGATGATGATAGTAGTATAACAAAGCTTTTCTAAATAGTTGTAGAAATGGTATTACAAACTTTAAACCTGTGTGAGCCTTTTAAAGTTATTTTAAGACTCTAGTGCAATGATCTCCAAACCTTTTTGATCATACACCCCTATGAGTAAAAAACTTTTGAGAACACTCCCTCAGTATATGTGTATTTATTTATTTATAAATTATATACATGTACTACTTTATGTACATTATAAAGCATACATACATAAAAACAGAAATTTAAAAGGATGATATGAAGATGAAATAAACACTGATTTTTTTTTTATTTTATTTTATTCATTAATAATATTTTCTTCCTGCACCCCAATGTCTTGTGTGTGTCTTGTGCACCCCCTGGGGAGATCAGTGCTCTAGTGGATGTATAGCATGGTGACTTTTAAAGCCTAGGTCTAAAATTGTATGATCTGCTGATGCTGATACAAATACAAGAGTGACGCTTTCACAGGATAGTGAAGTTTTTTGACCCGTATAAGTATCGTTTATAACCACTTTGTTAATACCTTTTTCATAAACAATTCCTGCTTCATTTTAATTTCTAAAATTTATGAAGCATAAGAAGCAACTATCCACTGGAGTCACATAAAAATATGCCTACATGTTTTTTTCTCTACGAACTCAAAATAATTAAGACCCTTATACATAGCTTGAGTATGTGTCTATACTTCTGACTGGCAGAACAGATTTATGATTGCATTTGTTGAAAAGTAACAGTGCAAAACCTCGTGAAGAGTCCTAGGCTATAGCAGGTAAAGCAGTAAGGTTTATTTATTTGAAACACAATTTCTTAGTTCTGCTGGAGCGAAACACAATTTCTTAGTTCTGCTGGAACAAAACACAGTTATAGGCAGTAATGGGATTTTTATCATCGCATGCCTCCATTTAGAAAATTTGATTCTATGTAAACAAGAAACTAGCCTTCTATGACGGGTAAAGAAAATTCACTATATTCACATATCACTGTTTCACAGTAGCCTCAACAGAAATTTGCTGTCATGTGTGTTTTATTCAAGCAGTGGTAATGCTGTTTACATTGAATAACTTGTTGTGGGCAGTTCCTTTGAGCACAGTCGCTGGTTCAGACACCCAGGAGTGTTAGCATTTCCCCTAAGAACCACAAAGTTGGCAGCTTTCTCTCACAATTTCCTTTCTTTGGGTTTTACTGTTGTATAGCCCTGTAAGTGCTGTTTGGCCTACCGAAAGATTAGCATACATGAAGGGTTAGTTCTGGTGTCATAGGTCCATCAGTGGGACAACTGAAGTGCTCGTGTACCTGGAATTTTCTTTCCAGAGACCGAGCAAGTCATCTTCATCTACAACAACATTAGGTATTAATGGGACAACAGTGTTTTCAACCATTTGTGTTGGATAAGTTCTGCTCACCTGCCGTAATACCTGCTGAGTCCTACCAGATTTACCAGGCATGGGAGCAGTCCTTTGCGTAGTAAGCAGAACATGCTCAGCAGTGGTCAAGTCACTCTTTTTTTTCTACTTGGCATATATAAACCACAACTAATAGTTATATTCATATAGTAGCATCTCCAAGGACCCTTTGGATAAATACATGGAGCTAATCTCGAGCCATGATCACTTTTTATCTAAACAGACGACTTGGAAAGGGGACATGGTACCTACAAGCAGAGAGATGTGTTTGGTTTTCAGCTGCTGCCAAAGATGCTTACTTTGAAGTATCATAATCTATAGCTAAACTGATCAGAAAATGACTTAACCTAAATGAGGAAAAAGCCATTTTTTAAGCCAAAGTAAGCCCTGTCCAACTTTTTGCACAAGTTCAAGTAAATTGAGGCCAGGCTGCAGCCATGGGGTGGATGAATAGATTTACAGTTCTGTGTTTACTACTGCAGTCAGCTAATAGCCTCACGAACACAGTAGCAGCTACTACAGAGAAACACTAAAGGCCTCAGTAAACACTGAGTAAAACTCAGTAAACCCCTAAATGACTGAAGTATAAAAACCACATCTTTAATAAAAACACCTTTAAAAACAACAGTCCATAAAACTGTGGCCCTTTATGTTTGTGAGTTCAAAGTCAATGCACGTTAAGTTAATACAAATATGAGTATCAGAGATGCATGTCTTTTGTTCACACATTCAAAAATGCATGAAAGGACATAGTTTGAAATAATTAATGAGTAATGTATGAGTGCAAAGGCATGGCCTGAGTTTTAAACTCTTCTTAGTAAAGTACAAGTTTGAAATTTAGAGGCTGGGAAGCTGCCCAGTTTTGCCTTACACATACCTGCTTTGCTAACATGTCCTATAGCAGAGTAGTTGTATCTGTATTGCATGAATTTTTACTGTGTAAACAGCTCTGTATCTGACTCATGTGGTTTCAGAAGACAAATGAATTGTCAGCTATACAAAATACTCAGCAATAAAGCACCTTTTTCTGCAGGAACTCCTCTCAGCCCACTAACTACTAATTAACTTCATCTCTAAGTAATAATTAACTTTCATTTACTCTGATGGCTCAAAAGCAAATACAGAGAAACATTAACTACCCATAATAAAATCTCTCTTGCTAACGCTAGTGGTGTTGTCTATGAAATGAAGCAGGTTGTCTTTTTTCATATTAATTAGCCCAAGCTGCATTTGTACAGAAACCAGTCTGGCTGTTAGGTGTGCTGCTCTGTGATGGCATGACCTGCTCCTCTCCTGCGTTTGGACTCTGGAACCGTCTCTTCCCGATGAGCCAGCCTATGGGGGCACAGGATCATTCCCAGTTTTAGCATGGTATTACTCTTTCTGAGCTTGTTGCAGCAACTTGACATGACTTGATATGTGACAAATAAGGCGTAACAGTAGCCGAGTTGTTTTAAATTGAATAAAAGTAGATTCTGAACATACCTTACTCTGTACAGAAAGTCAATGAGTGGGGCTGCTGCAGAGCTGCAGTTAGCTCTGCAGCCTTAATGAAAAGTTTCTCAAACTGCCCTTATCTAGATGCTCAAGGATACATTACCTATTTTAAAAATATGATGTCCATATTCTAGTCCTTCTCATTTTTAAGAGCTTGAACACTGAAAATTATAATTAGAACAAGAAGGGCTTGAAAATTCACAGGTAAAGTTGATCTGCAGGACTACCAACATTCTTTCTAGCAGGGAATAGTTTTTAATGAGGCTTACCATATTTGTACAGATCAAATATCCGAGATTTTTAAGATTAATCGGTTTGCGCCTCTTTATTGGAAATTAACACACCTCCCAAATTAGGTCACTAGAAGTATTCCTTCCCTATGTATTAATCTAAAGAAAAAAAATCTCTGCACAAAAAAATGCTGAAAACTAAAAGAAGAGCACACCACAAAGTAAAAAAACTGTGCACTGAGGGAATGATATTACTAATGAAGATGTTTAAAGAGTATATATATTTGCCAGAATATAAATCTGTAATTAGTCTTCCCTTTTGTAATACTAATATTTTTGTTGTGCGTGTTGATAAAGTCTATAGCCTGCAGCTTCTATTACAGGGTAAAAATAGTACTTTGAAGTGCAATACATTATGCATAGTACAGTACTTAGTTACAGGAGAATGCCAAAACTTCTTTTCAAAAATTTACATACACCTATTGACTGAAAGGGACACCCACAGTGCAAATCTAACACTATCATCTGACATGGGCATATGCGCTGTGCCACACAGTTACCAACTAATAAATTAAAGTTCTCTTCATCCTCTTTGACAGAATTTCAGGAGGAAAAGAGAATCCACATCTGGCAGATAATATTGCAGGTACTAACGCTGGAATGAGTGAATGACCAGAACACTCCCCATTCTGCTAACCAGTTATTGCCAGAAGTACTGTGGAGCCCTGAATCTCGGCTGCCTGTGTCAGTGTGTGCAGTCACTGATAAGGAAGTCTGACGTTAGAAGGATTTGTTAATCCCGTTCTCTAGGTCTGTAATTTGTCTTAAAGCTTTGCTTCTGACACAGTTTTACAGAAATCGCAGGTCACAAAACTTAACATAATAAAAAGAGGCTGTGTACACCACACAATTCTGTATTAGCAGTTAGAATAAGTGATGGTATTGTTCAGTCCTGAAATATGACAAAAAGCACTGTGCCCTGAACAGGCAGAGTAAGCCAAATCAAAAGACTTCACTGGTTGCCTGACAACAACCTGAACAAGTAAAATTGGTGTATTAAACTATCTAGAGGAGTATTGCAGACTTTTTTAGACAAGTCTTGTTGGATTTTAAAGGTAAAGTCTATTTTTCTTGGTCTGAAAGTCCTACACATAATAGTTCTGTCTCCAGTTCCAATACAAATTCTGAGTCTGAAAGGGTAAGATGCCAATAGCATGCAGAATATATGATTTTGAATATTATTTATATACATAAGTGAATTTCTGGCATGACTCTTCCTCTGATTAAAAGGAAGGCTTAGTAGAAGACTGTCTGTATTATACCTTGAAAGCTGATAATGATCTTGTTCCATTTTTATCTTGAAATACCTGTTCCCAAAAGTTCTGCAATGCTGAACTTTCCAAAAGTTATGTTTAGTGGTCACATTTGCTCCTGCAAAACATTTCATTTAAGTGTTGGAGCTAGCAAACACAACTGCTGTGTTTCATTACAGAGTTCTTTTTAATTGCTCTGTAACTGGAGCATCCTGTGGCCCTATGTATCCTAATTCTTCAAAACTTTCTAGACAACTATCTCCAGAAAAGTCAGCTAACGTCTCTGTTCCTGGTTCCCCAGCCAGTAAAACAGAAGTAACGCTTCCTTTTTCATTATTATTTTTCACGCTTTATCTGTCCCAGCTCCCTTTTAAGCTCTTTGTGAATTACACAGTGACCCACAAGGACAGTGGAAAGCTGTAGTTGGAGGAAGTAGTATCACTGCACTTCAGACCAGAAGGCTGCGTAAACATCTACTTCCGTTTGCTCTGGAGAGAAGTGAAGCCAAAGGTCTCACTGTGTGTTGAAAAGCGTAATGGCAGCTCAGTTTCATCATGGAAGCTTCTAAGAGAGAACGCAAAACAAATGACTGATGATAACAAGTCTTTGAACCAAGGCCTCTTGCATAGCATTGCCATTTCTTTAAGTTTATTTCCATCCATTCTTTTGCCTCCTCTTCGGTTTATCTGCTCCCCCAGTTCCTGAAAGGAATTTTGTTGTTTCCAGCAACCAGCTTGCAGCCTGGCATCTGTAGTTACTAAGTAGATCCTCAGATACCTTTCCCTCCCTTTTGCATTTTTGAACTGTGTAAGGCAGAAGGGAATAGAATTTCCCAAACTACTTCAGGAAATTGTTATCACGTAATTGAGTTAAATTCAAATTACCAGTTTTAGCAGAAGGAGTCCCAGGAGCAAAAGCCCTCTTTGTATCAGTCGTGTGGATCATTCACAGCAGTCCAAAAACCTTTTCCAACATAGTTGGCCAGTGTGTGACTCAGTGCTGGCTTAAAGGGAGTATCCCTTTCATTTGGTGCCATTTGCAGTCTAACTGAACATACATTATTATTCTGTTTCTTTCAAAATCACACTTGATTTTACTATGTTACATTTCTTTGTATTTACCTCGCATCTCTGGATCAAACCAGTATCTCCCAGAAGGGAATTAGTTGTTCCTCCACAAACGCCACAGGAACATGGGCAAACGGCTATTTCGGTTACAGATATAGTTACACCGTGCGTGTGTGCAAGAGAGAACAGAAGCAGCAAATAGGGGATGAGATAAATGAGGCATGTAGATGGATACGGTGCATCCACATTAGCATGTGGTATAGTTTGGGCATGTCACCAGGATTACCGTATTTAAGCATGCCAGAAGTCAGAGATTTTTAATAGTTAGATGATGCCAAAATGTAAGTTCTGAGTCATTCAAAGGAGAGCATCCCTACAAGCAGCAATCTCCCTAAGTGCAGGCTAGAGACATCAGAAATTGGGTAGCAGAAGAGTTTTTCTATAAGACTCTTGATCTTGATCTTGGCTCCAACTGATCCTTTTTTCCACGAATGTATTTGTCTCAGTGTATTTCTGATGAAATGCAAGTAAAACAAACTTGCACAGCAGACTTGAAAATTTCTAGGTAGCCCTGAAGTCTCACCATGGGGGTTGCCATGAGCCACAGCCCAACCATGGCAATTGCCCAAGCACTGAGTATTTCAAGGCCTCCAGGAGCTCCTCTACAAGAGAGTCCAACTCCTGAGCTCAGAGGGAGGCATTCCAATTGTCGGGAACCTCAAATCTTGGGAAGCCAAGATGAAGTCAGTTTTACAATTTTCTAAGCAAAATGTTGCCATTGTTTCAAAATTACTATTTTTTTTTAAGTTACGTTTCTGTGACATTTCTCAGAAACATTTATTTTTTCCCAATCTAATAATATTTTTATTTCCTGGAATTTCTCAAGCTTCAATTAGCAAACAAACTTAAACTGTCAACTGAGGTTTTGCCTGCAATGCTCTTCTCTGCCTTCAAACCAACTCTGACCCTATTCAGAGTAAGGTGGTTACAGCTGTAATTTGGCGAGTGGGAGAGCAGGAGCTCTTCCATTCCCAGTCCGCGTTATGGTGATAGGGAAACAGGGAAAGATGGAGAACGGAGTGGCCATATATGTACAGGCGTGCACGCAGACACACACTGATATCTCTGACTGGATGAACAGTTCATCAGCTTCTTAATGAAACAGTTCAGTAATTCATTTCCTTTGCAGAACAGGACAGGGCCTCTGATTCAGGTTCTTCTCTGCCTCCTGAGCTATAAAGCTATGTGCCCCTCATGCTAGACAGCAAGGCCAGGTGACGGCGTCTCCTCGCACAGCCATTCTGCATGATTATAGTTGTCAAAAGTTCAGGGATTTTTAGAATAATGTGCCGTGACAAAACGAAATACTGTATCAGCTGAAGTGTCTTTGGCAAGGGAAATTCCACACTTATCTTTTGATAGTATTTTTAGTCTGTGTGCCTCAGCAACTATTTTTGCTATGTGCTAGAAGGGCTGTAGCATGTACATTTCTGTCAGTATAACCATAAACATATGAAAGGGTGACATACCTCGAATGTGACATAGGTAAAATTAAAATTAAATTCGAAAGTGATGTCTGTAGTAGGCCATACTTAGGAATCTGAATATTGATTCTGTGATATATAATTCCATGAGAGAATAAATGAACTCATAAATAAATTGTTAACAGCATGACCTAAAGTAAAACTATAATTACAGTGCATTAGTATTTAATCTGAAGGTGTACTTCCTGGGGGGAAAAAACAGAACAACTGCATTGATGGTATATAAAACGCTACATTCATTTTACAGTCGTAAGCCACAGGAGAGTTTAAAGCTGTACCTTACTGGCTTTGTTGTTAATAAAATTTTAAACCATTGTAATTTCCAGTGGGTAAAGTAAGCATGCAAAATAAACAGCCTGAAACTATCTAAAGGAACATGTCCCTCTCTGTTTGTGATGGATGCTAAGATTGGGTTATATTTAATATTATTTCAAACAAAGAAGCTGGAATGTGATACTGCGTGCAGCCTTTTGGTCAGCAGAGCTGCAGGAGACCAAAATAATGAGGCCTCGGTTTATAATTCCAGCATTCCATAATTCAGAGTTTGTTCAGTTGTAAAAATAATTATACCCCAAAATTGTAAGTATTGTTACTTCCCTGGAAATCAGTAGCTTATTTAGAGCCAAACTTCAAGCAGCAAGTACGTGTTTGGCTTTTCAAGAGTTTTTAAATCACTTTCATAATTCATTTTCAAGTTGAACTTGGGTTACCACAAAGCACAGAAAATGTTACTTGAAAGCTGGGCAAACAGTGGCTTCCTTTGGGTCTGGAGGAAGCAGAAAGCGTGCGGAGCTGTGTCCGAGCCACGGTGGTAGAACAGCAGAAGGCATCTGCAGAAGGCATCTGGCATTTCCCTCTCTGACTGAGCCGCTTCTGGCGGCTTCAGCTTTTTTCTGCTTAGATGCCAGCAGTTTCTCTGGGAAGCTGGGAAGCGGCTGAGCACAGTGTATTTTTTCCTCTTCCTTGTCCCCGCACATTTCATAATCCTCACACTGCTGGTCTGGCAGTGGATGAGTCCATCCCCTCAGCCTCTCGCCCGGCTGCTCCCACCTACCGGCTCGGCTGCGCTCACGTCCCCTCCTGCCCGCTAGCAACCCTCAGAGCATTCCTGTGAGCGCACGAACTGCCACCTGAGTTTGGCCCCGTGACTGACATGGGTTATCTCTACGTGTTAGTGGACAAATGTTGCTAAGACTCTCAGAACATGTGTCTGTTGATGGGTCATCTTGGATCAAGAACTGGTTTGGTGTAGGTAAATGCTAAAGGACATTTGTGTGCATGGAAACCTTTACAGGTATCTTTCCTCTGATATTTTGACATAGCTACTGTCCCAAATATTAAAAATATAACTACAAATGGAATAATAGAAAAAAAGTCCAGTTTGTTTGACTGTTTAAAAAGGATCAATTCAACTTTGGGATGAAGATTTGAGTCAGGTCTTACCTTATCCATCCAAACACAACAGTTTGTTTTTCTGGAGTATTTGTTTTTGTCTGGGAGTGCACTGAAGTGAAAGTTTTACTTAGCAGAGGCTCAGATTATTTTACAGCTCTGAAGAAAGGAAGCAGTCAACCTTAACTTCAGTTATCTTTAAGATTTAGCTGGAAATGCTTGTGAGAGGAGCACAAGGAAATATCTTTGACTAAATCTCTTCTCACCAACGTATTCTGTCCTGCACAGAAACATGAGCTCTGCTGGCCCAGAAGGAAGGAAAAAGATGAGAGAATGCGACGGCTTGATTGATTCTCTTGTGTATTATATTCAAGGAGCTATTGCAGACCACGAGCCTAATGACAAGGTATTCTTTTTTTCCCTAGGGGAAATTGCTAGGAGAACATTTTTTTGTTTAGAAACCAATGTTCAGAAACAGTTGTGATGTAACTGCCAAACTTACACTTATTTTCAGGGCTTTTAGAACTGTCACCAAAGACGAAAGTCCAGTAAGAAGCTTTCTGAAGTGTTTTTTTATCCTGCAAATTAAAAGAATAACATACCTTAGCTTTGGGAAAACATTTTCAGAATCACCAGAAAAAGCTAGAAACGTCTCTTTTTTTTTTTTTAAATGTGACATAAAGTCACAGCTTTCAGAGATACTGAAACACCTAAAAAGTCAGATATTACCTTTTTAGTTGTCTCAGGGAGCTAGCTAGAAGCTTAAAAAATTAATCTGGTTACTTTCCTGTATATTTAGTGCTGTATATCCCTTAGGAAATGAAGAACCTAAATCTCTTTGGGTGGCAGTGTGATTAAGAAGCTTGCATCATTTAGAATGGGATTCATTTTCCTAAGTTTTTTAGAAGTTATACATGCTGCCTAAGCCAGTGACTACAAGGACGTGGACACCTCCAAAGCCAGTTCCTCTCATTCTCTTCCTCCCACCATTGACTGCACATGAAACCTGAACGTTGCTTAGACTAGATGCTTGCCTTTTAGCTGGGTGAAGTTGGGTGAGACCAGCTGTCACTTATGAGAAGGTTAGCCGTAGCCTGTGAGGCACTTCTGGCGTGCCTGCTATAACTTGTGCTGTGTAGTGGTAATTACTGCACGTTTATAGCTCTATTCTAGGATTAGTTACTTGAGCTTCTCCATCTCCCTGTATTCAGTGCCATTAGCTTCAGGGAGAATCCAGCACATTACACTTGTGCCAATAGCTCCCTGCTGCATTTTGTTGTAAAACCACTCATTCCTTTTTTACTTTCATGAAAGGAGGAACTGGTAATAAAGCTATTTGCCACTAGACTCATCAGTCAGAAATTGTAGACCTGACCTTAGCCATGCCCAGAAAGGCACATCTAATTTAGAAAAGCATTCTACCATGGAAGAGTGCTTCTTCCTTAGGAAAGATACAAAGCTTTCCTTTTGCTGACGCTACGGTGAGGTGTGTGCGTGATCATCTTTACTCTTAAGCTCTTAAACATTCCTTGGCACACTTCTGGTCTATGCCAAATAGCACTCGCCCAAACAATTCCCAGGCACAATTCAGGAATTATAATGTCCCAGGACCATTTCCAACAGGCATGCACCCCGCTCCAAATGCAAGCCCTGTGTGCCAGTTGGCCTCAGTGCTCAGGAACATCCCAGGGCATGTTTAATTTATCAGTGTAAATGCAGTCTTGTGGATCACTGGCACGAGGACTAGCTCTTCTGTAAGCCATTAGAGAAGCTCTGCAGTTAGTTGTTGAAGATCCAGAAATGAAAGCTCTTTCCATGTCTATACATGTCCCTTCAACACATGCCAAAGCTTTCAAGATTTCTATTCTTTTGTTACTTTAGGCCACAGAGAACTGTGTGTGCATTCTTCACAATCTTTCCTACCAGCTAGAGATAGAGCTCCCTGAGAGCTATGCCCAGAGCATATATATGCAAAGAAGAAATATTTCTAGCAATGATAAAACACCGGGCTGTTTTGGAACACGGAGCAGAAAAGTAAAAGAGGTAAAGCACATGTTTAGTTACATCTTGTTTTGTTAATCAGTTGTAGCAACTTCTGGAGAATAAGGCTGTAATCTACTTAACAATTTGTTATTGATGTATCTGGTAGTGTGACACTTACTTGCCCCAAAAATGCAAATTTATTGATAGCCTTTCCTAACACCCATTATCTTGTTCAGCTGATGACAATGACATAGCAAGTCACTGTTTCATTAGCTGAAGAATACTGCCACTCAATTTCATCCCCTCTGAGGGATACAGTGGTATCTGTACCATACACGGTAATTGTGCAAGTGCCCTACCAATGAGTGGGTGTTGTGATGGTTTCACCAGTGAAACCAGCGTAAGGTGACTTGCCACTTTCATGACGAGCTTTTGGGCTCTCTCAGGACCTCTTGTTTTGATGCCATGTGGTACAGATCACAAATATTCTGGCAACTGGGAATTGTTGGAGAGAAAACAGGTATCGGGGAGGGGGAAAGCAAAAGAAAAGGATTGATGACCCTTCCCCATCTATTAGTTTTGCTGCAGTGTATTCTGCCTTCCCCCATTCCCACAGTACAACTCTAGCTGGCCATTTCTGTTTCTCCTTGGCCTTGGCCTCTAGTGTCAGTTGCTGAGAGATGAGAAGCAGCTTCCCCCATACCTATCTGCTCTTTTTGGATGGAGTGGCCCATATAATTAAATATTGAAATTTTACACATTGTCATTTGAGTACACAACTTGATAATCTGCAAATAATCTGGTCATAGAGAGTTACAAAATGGCTAGTTTAGCTTGATTCTATGATGCATTAAGTCATATAAGGTCACTGTTTCTAAAGGCTTGATCTGTTTACATGTTTAGAAGCAGCAGGACACCCCGCTACCTGAGGAAAAGAGCAATCCCAGAGGTGTTGAATCGCTTTGGCATTCGACACTGATTAGGATATATCTCTCCTTAATAGCAAAGAGTACCAGAAACTATACCCAGGAAGCATCCCTAGGAGCCCTTCAGAACCTCACAGCTGGCACTGGACCAGTAAGTCAGCTTTTTTCTCTTTTTTGTTGTTTAGTTCTTAATGTGAATGCATAGAGTTTAGGGCTGGAGTGCAACACGCTGACAGCACTGAGGTCAGGTAACCACTGAAAAGTCACTGTCTCACAGATGTGATCAAGGAAATCGAAAAACATTGAAGGGAAAATCATAACTGGCAGTGCAGCTATTTCTTGCTTGGCAAATATGGAGACTGCTTCTTCTCACTCTTTATACATCTCCACGTGTGGAATTTTGCCTATTCATTGCACAATGAGGGAAAAGTAGTTGCTAAAAGCACCAAAAAAAAGTGGTTTTGTGGAACATAATCAGTCCCATGGGGAGAGGAAAGCTCTGACACAACCACTGATCACTTTCATGATGAAGAAACTAATGACCTCTGTCATGTTTTGGCTGAGGAACTGGCCAAAGAGCACATGGGAGAAAGAGGGCTCAAAACTTCTTTTCTCACCTTCCTTTTCTGTTGCAGCTCTTATATAGCTCTGGATTTAAACTATTTTAAACGTGCTTAAACTGATGTAGAGAACCTGCTGTGGTTGTTTATGAGGCTGTACATTCATCGTAATGACACAGTATTGCCACATGCCTTATAACAGATGCCGTTTGCGGTGGCCCGGACTGTTGTTCAGAAGGCAAATGGCCTTCCAAGTGTTCGAACTATGCTGCATGTAAGCCACCCAACAGTAAAGAAGACAGCAGTCTCACTGCTCAGGAACTTGTCTCGCAACACCTCTCTGCAAAGTGATATAGGTGAGCAAAGACTAACATTGTCTTTTGGGCTTTCTTGGTCTGTTCTCTTTACGTTAAGCTTTCCTTCTTTAAATAAAAAAAGTCAAAAAAAAAAAAGTGGGCTTTTAGGTCAGGTATTTGCAGTCATTATACAGGGTTGAAAATAAAGAGTTTTGCCTAAGAAAGACTCTAACCTCAAGTTTTCACTAAGTTGTGTATTCCTCATCAGATACTTCCATTAATGTTACTTTCAGAAAATATATAATGGAAGTAAAATCTACACAGATTTGGAGAGGGAGTTTTTCTTCTGCTTAAAATAGGGTAAAAGAAGGTGAGTGCTGAGTTCTGTGCTGCCACAACTTTGCAATCCTTTGGGAGAAATCACAGAACATCTCCAATTCTTCTGGCAAAAATAATATTTTCTTCTTTTAGACACAAAGCTTTGGAAGCTTGCAGCCTACACAGTTTTCCTGCATAAGTTTTTTGAGAATGGAAGCTAGAAGATGCTATAGAGAAAATAGTTCAAACTTTTTGGAGGACCTTATTCCTAAAATCTTATAATTATTTTCACATCAGAAGCCATTTCTATTCCAAATATTTTTATTTCAATTTAATGTATAATTGAAGTTTTTTCCTACTGATAGGATAAAATAAATTCACATCATTTGTTGTCCTTTTCTGTGTTGCCACTGGAGGGGGAAGGGGAAATTACAGGCATACAGCTGGTTCGTGGGGCAGATTAACCTCCAGAATTCTGCAGAACAGTCTCCTGGGCACTGTTTAATCCTTAGAGAACATCCCTGTTAATGAAAATATTATAATATGTTGTTGGGCTGATTTCAAAGGGATAATCCGTATGGTGTTAAAAATTACAAGTGGTGAATCCCCCAGAAAGAGTAGGAATTAACCTAAGGAGAAGAAATTGGGATTTCATCAGGAAAATAATTTATGAAAGCACGTGAGAAAGACAGAATGAAATGAAGCTTTGGAGAAAGTTGCTTCATGTTGCACGTTCACAGTCATTCTCTTGCTTTACCCATGGTAGGAAGAATTGGGGGAATTTCATGTGAACCTCTTCTCCATGAAAAGGTGTTCTTTTTGGTTGACTAAAAACATGTGTGAATTCAGGTCAAATTCTCCAAATAATTTTGGCCAAAGGAAAACATTTGGAAGACCATACTGTTTCCTAGATAAAGTGTCTATATTTATCAAGCAAAATGAACCTTTGATATGAAATTGAGATTAATTTAATATAAAACATCTCTAAAAGTTAAATGATTGAAAAACATTAGAAAATTTCCTTGAAATGACTTGAAAAAATAACATTTGTTCTGAACAGATGTTTTCAAGACACTGCCAAATGTATACTTTCTAAAAATCACCTTCCTTGATTTACCAATGGAAGAAAAAACTGGCTATCATTTCTGACATAATTGCTTTGTCTGATACTTAGCATAGCAGGTGGTTCATCCAGTTTTAAAGGTCCCTTTCTAAATTGCATGTGATTTAATCTCAATATACATGAACCCTGTCACACACCCATCTGGAGGAATGAGCAGAACTCACGGAGAGCAAAGCGCTCCGTCCGAGTGAAACCCTGGTTACGGAGGCGAGAATGGCCCGAAATGCCCCAAACTATTGCCCAGTGCTCCTTCGTACAGTGGGGGCAGCTGGCTACAACCTATTGCTTTAATTTTCTCCGTCGGCTCTGGCCCACACGGCACAGATGTCACAGTGTACAGCAGGACTCAGTTGCTGTCCAGAGCTGCTGTTTGCCTGGCTGGCAGGGTCGCCTCCAGTGTGGTCAAAGCGATGCTGTGTTTCTTGAGCAGGGACAGACTTCAGGATAGGACATTCTTCTTAAAGAGATAGCTTACGCACCATCTCAGAAGGTTGAGCGTGTGCATCCCCTTATAGCCGACCGTTGACAAGTTCAGCAGTAAAAATTGTGCTGTAGTCACCCTTTCTCGGTTTGCTGTATATCACTATACCCATGGACACACAGGGTTCCTCGGGAGGTGGCACATGGCTAGGGACCTCACTACAGTACAGTAGGTATTAATGTATTGTGTATAAAAGGCAAAATACATACTGTCTGATTTAGTGCGGATGCAGCTTAACCTAAATAGTGGGGATGTAATGCAGGTATGAAGCCATGACTCTGTTGTGGGAGCACACAGCACCCTGGCAGGTGGTAATGAGAGACGTAAGGTCTCGTAGGACCCCTAAATAAATCTGCACCTGTTAGTAATGGAGTTGCTTGTCTCTCTTTCAACTTGTAGCTAGAGAAGTTTTGCCAGATTTGGTCTCAATACTTCCCGAGTCTGTCCCGGGGTCCGATATTGTCTGTGAAACCACAGCGTCCGTCTGCTACACCTTGTACAATTTGACACAGAGCAGTTCTCACAATGCACGGCTTCTCCTGAGTGCTGATGGCCTACCGAAGATTATTACCATCAGCATGAATGACAGGTAAGATGACTGAGAAGCCTTCCCTCCCCCTCCTCCTTTCCCTGGGGAAAAAAGAAACTGCAACCTCTGCCACTTGAGGAGAAAAACCACTGCATCTTAAGGTACAGGACAGCTTAAACAAGTGACTGTGATGTGAAAAGAATTGCACATATTGGGAAATACAGAAAAATCTCTTATAACAACTTTGCAACCATAGCTAAATTTGCCGTATTCTAGCATTTTAAATAGTTCCTCAGAAGATGACAGCACAATATTATCTATATTCTAACATATAGTCGCTGACCATCAGATCTTATCTTCCCCAAAAAGTTTCTGTATTTCCTGTTCTTTGTAACACAGGCCTGATAATCTTTAGCAGAAAAGTGCAGAGATACATTTTGTAGACCTGATACAACCGTATTTAACTATTTATAAAGGGGCATTTTAGATAATAGATGTTGAATTTCCTTTAATCACTATTTAATATGTAGTCACATGCAACCAATGTTTACCCAAAAGAGAATAATTAATGCTTTGTGAATATGAATAATTATTCTGTTTGCCTTCCTCTCTTTTTACAAAATGAAAGAGGAAATTCATCTCAGTAAAGGAGGCCTCATAAGGCTCTGAATAGTTTAAATCCTATCTAACTAACCAGAGATTTTACCTGCTGGAAAGATCCTTTCGAATGCTTGCTATGCTGAGGTGTATTTTCCTCAACTGAATATGAATAGTATGATAGCTGATAGTAAGATGAAGGCTATAGAGTACCTCATTTCTCTCTAATTTTGAAGAATGAGTGAAGCAGGGAGGTATGTTGCATTTATTTCAGTAGTCAGGACAGCGTGAAATGTGCTAGAATACCTAAAGAGCAGTAAAACAGCATTTAGGAGGAGTGAGAGACAGAAAAAATGCTACAAGGTTACGTTTGCTGAAGTCTGCACATGCATTGTGATTATGAAGTGGGAATTTAAACATGTTTTATCGTTCTTTTTGCAAAATGGCAGTAACATGTTCAGCAAAGCTAGTAGGGCTGCTTCAGTCCTCCTCTACTCCTTGTGGTCACATACCGATCTCCACAGTGCTTACAAAAAGGTAAGATCTGGGTTAGAGCAAAGTCATTTAATCTGTCCTTTCGGATCTAGAACCCTCTCATTTGTCCTCTGGGGCCCTTGGCACTTCTGCGCTCTTAAGAAACAGTGGTGTTTCACTGTTAAGAAACAGAATCCTATCCTATGATAGGATTTCAAGTTGTCTCTGAATTCGGTGTTCCTATTACTTACGCAAAATCCTGCACAAGTAAGGCATGCTCTTAATTTTTGCTCATCTGTGTTCGTATTCTCTCCCTCTGTGGTTTTTCTATGCACTGGCAAAGTTTATGAAAAAAGTTGCTGCTGCTTGCCAGAAGCGTCAGCTGGTGAGAAGTGATGCGCAGTAGGTGTCCGTCCCCCACTGACTGAACCAACCTGACACACGGGATGTAAGGTGCCAGCAAAAGCAAAGGCAGGGCAAGGCAGCTTCCCGCTTTAAAACCAGAGCAGTTTTGTTCTCCTTGTTGTTTGTATGTTCTGCGAGCCCAGGTGTTAGTTATATTCAGACAAAAAGGTAGAGCCTGGCAAAGGTGTTGGCAAATGTTTACTGCCACAGTCAAAATCAAACAAAAAAATGACCAGCATGAATCAGCCAACAAACCAGTTTATTTCTTTCCTTTTGAAGCTCTATGACTGCTTTTTCAAAACAGAGCTGGGTTGCCTTCAACCTGCCTACCTTGAACCTGCATTTCAAACTGTTTTCTTTCCTTGTTTTCTTGCTGTTCAGAATTTCTGTCACCTAAAATTCCCTATAACCTAAAACTATTCCATTTTTCAAGCTCTAGCCTTTAGCATTTATTAGCTTGTTTCTTAACAAAGGAACAATGCAGCTGCAGGCTTCTAGATTTAAAGAAGTCAGTGAGAACTATAGATTTTTTTGTTGAAATTTGCCCAAAAAAAGTTTCTTAGCATAGTTGCATCATACTCAGCAGTATACTGCCCCACAAACCAGAAATCTGTGTTCAGGAGTAAGGGTGCTGTACCCATATAAACTCTAACTGAATTTAGTTGTCTCTGTTTTTTTTCAACTACATTCCTGACTTTACTGTACAGCAATATCCCCAATGGCATGAATTTTCTGAACTTGTTGGTACTTTGGGTATGCATATAAGACACATTTGTCAGATCTGAGTTTCAAAAAATGCTGACTACTTGCTCTTCCTGTGCAAAACAGGTCCCCTAGAGATACCAGGTACGGTACTGAAAACTGCAGGCCACCTAATGTCTAGACATTTTTGAAAAGTCAGTCTAATAAGCAACAGAAATCACTTGATCAAATGAGATTGATAAAATCCTGAGTCATTTTGGCATTGCCCTGTACTCTTTGTTCAGATAGGGTTAATCTCAGCTGGCATTAGTCACCTAAGAGTTAGGAGTCTGTAGCGCTGAGCTAGAAGAATAGGCTCCCCGCACAGTCAGTGGAGGGAGTTGAGCAACTCCAATGATTCATCTCACCTATCTTAAACCGAAGGGAGTCACTCCTGGGAGATGCCTGTTCTGTCTCTGCTGACTGTAGAGGACTCTGCCTAGACCCCTACCATGGCTCCGTATCTAGCTTTTAGGCAGCTGAAGCCACCCTTCCCTTGCAGAATCGGCACTGAAGATAATGAATTATTCTGTTTCTTTCATTCCAAAGGCTGACTTTAAGAAGGCAGATTTCATCAATACCCGGACCACAAAAGCCTATAACTCACTAAAAGATTGAATCAGATCGTAACACCACTGAAGACAAACGAGATCATACATCAGTTAACCTAACTATCTTCACGCGGTTGGTGTTGCCATCATGAACCAGGAAGTATCTCAGAAAAAAGAGGCTGATTTTATGTAGGACTTGAGTGACCAGAGGATAGCTGTTTTGTGTTTTTAATCCTAATCACCTTGTTGTCACTGTATATATCAATTTAAGAAGCTTATATCAATATAAGAATAACCAAAGATGGATTCTTCAGAACGTCCGAGGTGAAGTTTCGTCCAGGTTGACAACTAGTCAGAGCTTCAGATGACTGCCCTTTTAGTCTAACAGGCCTTTATACAGAGAGGTTTGAAATGCTGATTGACAGCAAATTCTTTTCAGACTGTTTTATACAGATAGTTTTCTACAGTGGGTAAGCATCAAGTGCATTGCTCAGGACATAGTAATTTTTCACCCTTTTGTTTCTTCCTACATGCTAAATAAAAATCTCCAGACTCTGTGAGTATACACAAGAAGCTGTTTCACCACCTGCGTTACAAAAGCACCAATGAAGTTAAAATTATTATTTTTTTATTGCTTGTATTCATGTACTCACTGGTTCTTAAGCCTCTTTCCTTTGAGATTTCATCAGCAACAAGCAACAAAACTGATTTTACATAGGTCTTCTCATTCCTTGCTCCTTTCATTCTCCCTCACATGGCTGTTGGAATTTATAACTCTGTCCGGAAAGGGTTTTAGCTAGAACCACTATGTTTCAGACACTTTGGGCTGAACTTAGACCCATCATTTTTGCTAACTGGTGGAAGAGTTATTTGCTGGTGATTCAGTGATTATTTTAAGAAAATTGCATTTTCAAAACAGTTCCATTGATAATCTATATATAGTAATGGGAGTGGAGTCTTGCCTTTATTTTTGAAGTAATAGATACACACACACACGAGGTTAGACTCTGTGCTGCTTAAAGAATTCATCTGATCCTGCTTCATATTCTCTTTCTTGAAATCATCATCCTCCCTACACCGATTACAGGCAATGTGATAACTGAAGGACTGTGTCTGCACATGTGGGAATAGGTAACAGGAGAAGAAAAATTCCTAAGCATCTAAAGGCTGTTCCCATGATGTGATCCTCAGAGAGGGAAAAGAAGCACTAAAAAACCCCATCTGATACCTTTAGTATCAGCGAGATTTATCGCAACAAACCAGTAGTTAAATAGTCCATTACTCTTCTGAAATCAGGGGAGCTAAGCTACATTTATGGCAACCAAGACTTCGGCATATGTATTTACAAGCCTTCCTGCACAAATGGAGCCTGTCCTGTACCCCCACGCTGAACTGCTGGCGCAGGAGCTATTACAGCTGTTCTTACCCAGAAGGGGATGCATAATCCTTCCAGTAGGGACCTCACAGAGGAGGTCATCAGGCCTGTTCATTTCAACACTCCTGGCCAAAGGTCTAGCTCCTACCAGGAATTTGCAACCAGCGGATTGTGACATTGCACTGTGTCCAAAGGTATTTCTGGATATTGGGGAGCTAAATTCTGCTGGTAGGTGCACATAGTTCTCATAGGGTTCCCAGGTAATCCCACAAGTGCGTGCAGAACAGAACGTGTCCTGGGGAGTTAAGGAAACAACCCTGCTTTCCCATTACAGATCATTTTCATAGGTCTGTTAGTCCTCCGCATTTGTTTTGAATAACTCAAATCAAATGCATTCCAGTAAGAGGTTTTAAAAATACTATTGGTTTTTTAAGAGGTCATTTTCAAAATACTCCAGGTTCAAAAACAACACAGGGGAAGAGAACTTACAGCACCGCATGTTGAGGAAATTGTTTTTATAATTTTTTTAAAATATGATAGAAAACAGACAATTAAAATCTAAGTTTTTCATCTAACTTGTTGACCCAATTAACACTGCATATGCCATGAATGAATAAACACCAGGAAACCTGGACAAGTCTACTTTTACTGCCCAAAAAGTAGTGGTACACAAAATAAATATACGAAGAGTAAACATAAATACAGAGTAGCACGGGCATGAAGAACTGCAGTCTAAAGATCAGGAAGGGGGCTTTTAGAAATACTCAAGTATTCATTTAGTTCTGTGAAACTCACATGCTATTTTTAAAAAAAAAAAAAGGCCAATGCTGGGCATTTTCAAATGCCCTACTTAGTATATCTAACTCCCAGTAAGATGTCCTTAAGAATGGGGTGCAAACTTTTTGGGTTGTTTCTATTGAGAGTGTCCCTTTAAAATCAAAGCAGTGTTCAGAAGTCATGAAGAATATCAGACTTGGCAACAACTGACAGCTATAAACAGGGATGAGAAACAATGACACACCTTATTACAACTGATCTCCTACTTGTATGTAATCAAAAACATTTCAGCAGGGCTCCAAAGAAAGCAAAGAATGTTAGTCAGAGAAATAATAAAGTGTTCTCTCTAATGCAAAAAATCCGTCTTTGGTCTTTGTTGTTATTAGTGAACCTACTTGCTGGGATGCAGCAAATGTATTTTCAAGCCTTAGCCCTTCCTTTAAAAGGGCAAATTCATTTTTAATTTAAATCTAGGTACAGAGACTTAGACTTTCCTACAATAGGAGACTGTTACTGAAGGCAAGCTGTGTAATGCTCCTGGTGGCATCAGAGTGCTCCTGCAAATAGTTTATTTTTACTTACAAAATCTGTTACAACTCTTTTTGTCCAGTATTGCTGACCTATCAAAGCACCTGGCATCCTGTCTTCACCCCTCTTTAATTGGTCTTTGCCAGTAAACTTTACCATGAGCCATATCACCACTGGAGATCTCAAACAGAATTAGGTTCATCCTCACCATAGTCTTGGACTTGGGAAATACAACCTCCCCACTTGCTCTTTTACAGAGAGGAGATTTGAGACCTTGAATTTAAACACACTGGGTAATGTCCAAAAAGTCTTTGGCTGAACCAGGAACTGACCCCAAGTCCTCCTATCTTCAGATAGTGTCTTAACCACAACCCAGTACAACCACCTTTCACTGAATTGTTTTAGTAGAAACATTTAATTAGCATGGATAATGTAGTAGATACCACAGAATATAGACATTAATTCATTGCCAGAGAATTAGTCATTCCTTTCCCCATTTCATCCTCCTATCTTTTTTCTACTGTCATTACTTCTAAATATTAATGCTTTTTCTCCTCCCTCCTTTGCTAAATAGAATTAAACTATGTAAAATACTGCATTATATTGTGCACAGACACGGGGTTTAGGTTACTTGGCTTTTTTTTTGGTGGGGGGAGGAGGGGTGTCTTCTGAGTAGGAACATGCTGTATATTAAGAAAGGTTCAACCCTCCCTTCTGAGCCCATACAAAACTGTGGGTGAGATGAACTGGCACCATCATGAGCCATGATACAAGAATCCCAGCCCTTTCACCAGCTACTGCTTAGCCTGGCTGTACATCCTCAGAAGGCAACTCATTAAAGCTGAGGGGTTGTATCTCAGGTTGCCCGTTCGCTTTTTACCATGTTTAGCCCTTAGGCTCCAGCTTGCCAGAAGCCTTATGTTTTCCTGTCTTTAGGGTTCAGGACCAAAAAGCCCAACAGTACCACTTCACAGCCTCCTTGGGGGGGTGGTTCATGAGATAGCCTGATGAGCACAGTCACAGTGTGAATCACACACAAGCTATGCAAAGTGATGAGACTGATGGTTCCTAAGTTAGTTCAACTCCAGCAGCTGCTCTTCCATTCTTTTACTTTAATTGCTGCTGATTAAAACCTCAGTTTGCATTCCTGACTCATACTCTAGACCCAGCCCATGGGGAAGATAACATGACCTTAAGGCATCATCTGATAGATCTGGAAAAAAGATCTGGAAATAGCAGCAGAAATCCAGACTGGAGAAAATGCACGTTTGAGCTCAACATCACAGTGCATCAAGGACAAGGCTTGAAGAATCAGGTGTTAATATAACCATGTGAGTCTACACCTAGCGTATTGTTTTAGATGTTGCACAGCATCTGCCCACTGAAAACCCAGCAAGAAGATTTGCTCAAATACACCAAAGACAAAAAGGGGTATAGTATAGCAGATAGTATACATAGAGCAGGGTTTTGCCATTCTCTACAGTCATACTTTGAATATTTTAATAGGTTTGCATATGATGAGGAAATAAGCCTATTTTATCTTATTTCACGTTCAGAGCCAAAAACATTTTACTACACACAGTAGAGGTGTTGTCAGCTCAGGATCAGAAATTAGAGTTTGCTTGCATTCTTTCTTCAACTGTATCTTCCAGTGCTGTGTCCAGTGTGACTGTAAATAATTCAAGTTTAGGAGCTTAACATTTGTTACAAATTTTTCCATTATTCAGCCTAAGCTCCCATTCCCTTATTTGTTTCCTATTATTCTTAGTGATCTCTCAGACCAGTCTAAATATCCACACACATAAAGAAGAGGAAGCAGGCATTTGCTTTACACATCCTTAGCAGCTGCAGTTTCGAGCCAATACTGCAAATCACCCCAAGGTATCAGGGCCTTCTGCACAGGCACGTGCCCTTGGTCATAGGGCAGGCAGCACCGTGACCGTGAAAAGGAACGGGGACACCAGCTGCAAATACAGTGCTCGTCGTTAGGCTCTGTTTTCCATGATGACGACATATTCTCTCTGAAATTGCACAAGGCCCTGTCTTACTTATGCTTGCCTTTTGCAGTCTCTAAGCTGTAATCAGCTGTAGGACTGTGAGCCAAGCTGCCATCGCTCACACCTTGAAAGGTGCTGGCCTCAAAAGTCCCCAGCCTGCTCTTGCTTTCTGGGGCTCAGAAGGACACCACTACTGCCTCGAATGTATTTAGACATCTGGGAGCCCCTGTAACTTAAGTAAGAGATTTCAGGTCTCCCTCAGTACTAGAGAGATTTAAGGGCATTGTTTGACCCTCAAAAATATCTTAACTGTGTTTTCACCAGGAATTGAAATAGCCAAGCCTGAGCCACTGGGTGAGCACAGAAAAATGATGAAGAGTAAAAGGGGCT